CAAATATTTTGATATAGCAAGAATTATTTCAACAACCTGCTCGATTTTTATCGAGCAGATTGTGGAAGCTTGGACTTATCAGGATAAGGAGGATCCTGTGGATCCTCTCCTGAAATGCAATATTCAATATTTGCTATGACAGAAGTTGCAGCAGTTATAACACCATAATAATCTCCATCTTTCAAATGCTTTTGAGTATCCATAATTTCACCAAGGGAACCATTTTCGCCACCGAAAAGCACCAAACACTCCTCATAATGAGATTTTGCTTGAGGATCATTTCCACTGTGTGCAATCAATGACTTGATAAGGTTGATTGTGTTTGTGATATTGCCAAGAACTACCTCAATGGTGTAGTTTGCATGGCTAAGTAGGTCTGCACCTTTTGCTCCACCAGGCTTTGAGTTCAAAATATTTGAACAAAATGAAGGGTTTTGGACTTCTTTGCAAATGAGATTTACATCCACAACTTTTGATGCAAAGGTAGATTCAGCAAATAAAAGGAATGTTAGCAAAAGGCAAGAGATTAATGAAGGTTTGAAGGAGAAATAATAAGCCATTGTATTTGAAGGAATTAGGTTAAGAAAGGAAAACATTAGTTTTTTTTGCTAAGCAAAGAGAATATATATTAAGCAAGCACATTACAAAAGGATCAAGGAAAGTAAAAATAGCAACAAAACATAGAAATGACAAACAGAAACAGCAAAAAACAACAGCACAGCTACAATTTACAAATAGCAACAAACAGCTAAAAACAGCAGAAGACAGAAAAGCATAAAACAGAACAACAGAAGATGAAGTGCAGTTCAAAATGAACTTTCAAGTGTCCATGCACCAATTTGCAAACACCAAAGGACTATGCATATGATTATGATAATAAACCTAAGATATTTTGAAACTTTGCATATGATTATGATAAGAGTTAACTCTCACATTCCTCGCACCATTTATATGGAAACACATCTATGTGTTTGTATCTCTGTTGATTTAAAAAATATATTTAAATTAAAAATTAACAATGACGTATTTTTCTTACCAATAAGTCAATAACATAAGGAATGATACACTTTTCACACCATTTATATCTCCTAAAACTTAATTACGGTCCATGGATTAATGTTTTAGAGGAGTTACTTTTGTTAAAGATGAGCCAATATTTAAATAGATGAACTAAATAATATTTATGTACGGTTAGCGTAAAGATTTAGATTTATAAAAAACATTATACATCATCCATTTATAATTTTTTTTAAAGAATCAATAAATGATAATATATAAAATTGTAACTTTCCCCCTCATAAATGAAATGTAGGAGGTAACTAAGAAAACAAATTAGTTTAGAGTTAATTACTATAATGTGTTTTAGTGAAATTACATAAATAACTCATCTTTTTTGTTCTTACACGAACTATCCATCCATCTTACACGAACTACACCTAATTTTGAACATATATTACACTGATTATGAGATATAAGTGTAATATTTAAAACAAAAAATATTTGATGTGTGTAATTAAATTAAACAAAATATTGTATGTTGTGTAGACAAATCCAAATAATATAAGAATTAATGCATCTTCATTATTTGGTTCATTACAAAATAATATAAAATTTATATAAATATCTCATTAGAATTGTTAATATATTGTGTAATGAAACAAAAATAATAAAAAGACACACAATTTTGTAATATTTGGAATTGTCTACATAATACATAAATATCTCATTCACGTTTTTTTGTTTAAAATATTACATTTATATCTCATTAGGGAGGATAATTTGTGTAATTTTACTAAAGAAAATATTAAAAATAAAAGGGATTAAGGTAAAAGGGTTTAGGGAGGGTTTTGTGTAATAATAATAAAAATAAAAAGCACCCAGAGGCCCAAGAAGGGTTGTTTTGAACATTGAGTCGTGTCTTATTCTCTCAGCAGCAGCCTCTCTATCACACTTCCTCCGCCGCAGGTATTCATTCTTCTCTTCCTTTTCTATCTATCTACTTTCTCTTAACATGGTTTCACTGGAAAAATATTATATATGTACATATTGAATTTCTCATTTTGTGTTTCATGTTTTTTTTTATTTAACTTGTTTGGTTTGAAAGGATTGTTTTTTCAGTTGTTTATGGATTGCCTTAGTGGTGAACTTCCCCAAATGCTATCTATGAATCATAAAGTTGTAATTTTGAGTTGTTCTTGAGTTTATGGTATAGTAACAATGTACCCTTCTAACAATGTCTCCTTTTTTATATAGTTCTTGATTTTATGTGTGAAGGCCAAAGGGGAGGAAGATGAGAACAGTTTCTGGGAATTGTGTTTCATCGAAACAAATATCGCTTTCGAAAGCGGCAAAAATTCTCTCAAAGTTTGTCTCTGCTGATAATGGTGCTTCACAGGTCACCAGTGCGTATCTCCATCGGGCCGATGCTGCTTTCCATGAGCTGAAGCATCTGCATAAAGAGCTGAATTCGCCACTGTCCCGTAAGAAGCACAAAGAGAATCATTATGACAGTGGGAGTGTAGTGGTGAATTGTGTTCACAGCTTTGAGAATAATCTCGAGCTGAATAATGGGAGACGATTTGACAACGAGAATGTTGATGCGGATGGTGAAAAATCGATTCAGACAGTAGCTAAATTCAGTCAAGAATTTAATGGTTCTAATGGATATGATGAAGGAACTGGTGGAATTGAGAAGCATAAGAAGAATAAAAAGAAGCGCGATGTTGAGTCGAGGCATGACGGAGACAGCAGAGTTAAGTTTGAAGAGAGGGAAGGTGAGGGAAAACTACCCACGAGTTTAGGCCGAGAACAGAGCCATGACAGCACGGCGGCAACCGAGAAAGGAAAGAAACAAAAAAAGGAGAAAAGGAAGGACAAAGAAGGTAACGGGAAACTGTCTAACAGTGTTGAAAATGAAATCGATGACAACACGAGAATGGAGGAGGGAAAGAAACCAAAAAAGGAGCACAAGGACAAAGAAGATAATGGGAGCCTGTCTAAGAAGAAAATGAAAAAGGAAACATGATGATGGTTTTTAATTTGAGGTGTTTTGTAGATTCAATTGATGTTTAATGTATTTGCATATTATTGAGGAATATGTACTTGTAGGATTGCTTACTGGAGCATGAATTTTTTGAACTATCTTATAACATCATAGGCACATTCTTGTTGATTTATTTCCTGCATATTTCTTTTGTAATCTTCTGTGTTGGTCTTATTAGCCTTACTTCTTAGGAGAAGCTGCATCACATTTCTATTTATTGCAATCACAAGCTTTTGGTGATACTAAATCTATTGTGTATAGTTGCATGAAGCAATTTACTGATCTTGATTCTTGGAGTTATTTCTTTAGTTTTGGAGAACTGTAAATACTAAATTGTCAGGCCATATCTATCATATGAACCTTCTCCATTCATTTTGATTCAAAACCGAAACACATCTTCCCAATATGTGTATTACTTCATGTACCCTTCCATTCTTATCGGTCAGAAAATATAAACTTAATTTATATTTAATTTATGTTTTACTTTTTTGACTAATGAAAAACAAATGGTATATGAAACTTTGGGACAAAAGATGTTACTCCATTCAAAACCCAACCTTTTCTATTCATTCCTATTCAAAATCAAATTTGCAAGCATATAACTCATGTTTTACATGAGTGTGCAAAAACAAGTGACCATATCCTGTCCCAAACATGACCCAGAGGAGAAAAAAGATAGTTGAAAAATCAACTCTTCATTTCCAACCAAAAATTGTTCCTTTCCTTTAACCTCTCCATTAGGATGAGGAAATTTAATCAAAAGTGGTTCTTTAGAATAAGACCAACAAACAATGGCCTTATGAAAATAAGGAAGATGAAAAAGTCTAGGGAAAGATTTAAAAAGTGGGGTAATACTAACCCAAATATGCCTTTTCAATAGTTAATATGAGAAACATCCCTTGAATTTAAGGTATAATAAGAGGTAAAGGAAGGTACTTTAGCAACTTTATCTGAAGTTAATATGAGGTGAGTCACAAGAGAATGAATGGCCTATGAAACTTCATTCAGTCAAAAGCAATGGGCACTTTATCAATTGAATAGAAAAGTGGTTTGCCAAAAACATCTGTCATGGTTCAATGTGTTTGAATGTTTCAAAATTTCCTTCCTCCATGAGTTTCTTTACTTAATTTATTAAGCATTGCTACCATCTTTCTAATTATTATGCATTTTTAATAATTTATACGCAATTAGTACATCATCCGTTATTCAGTTGTATTACTTTTTTGAAAAAAGTCAATGATAATTAAATATGAACATATGAACGATAGATGATGTAATGACAATATTTAAAACTCTCACTGACAGTACATACATTTTCATCTGATAATGAAATATTAGAGCATAATACTTATTCAACATAAGAGTTGTGCTGTGATATGTTTCTATGGAAACCTATGACTGAGGAAATGTATGCTGAGATAGATAGAAGGCATGTTGAAATGAAGAATAAGAAATAGATAGCAGCCATAAAAATATAAAATCAATATAAGCATGATGAGCAATTAAATGTTTAATATCAATTGATGGTGAAAAAGTAGCTGAACAGAATGATGAAGCTTTTTCTTGGTTCAAGTAGGTAACACAACACACTGGAACAAGAAATCTGCATAAATGTTCTCTTGAAGATAATGCGTTCATAGAATGGATGTGACATAGTATATAGTAAAATTACATATTTATTTGACTACCGATAATGGCTATTATGTTTGAGCTATATAAACTAAGAAGAGCATGTGGATAAAATCAGAACAGGTTTAAAAGTCTGTAATATTGAAGATACAAGAGTGAGATATTTGGATACGGGAGAATTGTGACAAAGGAAGGAGATTCTTGAAGGTGGAGGCACTAGAGAATGAGTTTATGTTTTTATGACCAAGGCCCACATCGTTTAGTGTATTGAGTGGAGTCAGGTGATAGTGCTATAAATTGAAGGAGCTTTCATGTTTCATAATCACGGAGCTGTGTGATAAACACAGAGCGAACTATTCTTTCGCCTTTTACTAAAGAATACCGTGTATTTGTCACTTTAAGCGGCATACGCTAATTTTTGATAAGAGCTTTTCTTCTTTGGAAGGCTCTACAATTATAGTTTAAAGTTTTTATTGCAAGTTCTTTGAGGAGAGGTTTTGCACCTAACTTAGCCTCACTGATATCTGTGTCTTCATAACTTTCTTTTTATCTTTTTGCAAGTATATTCACACCTATTTACGAAGGCCATAAACACGGATGCCAATTAATCTCATACTGATTAAATTTAAACATCCTTGAATTTTTATTTATTTATAATATCTTATAAGGGGAGGGATCCACTTACTCAAAGAGTAAATGGAAAATGAACTTCAAAATTAAATTCCTCCCCTTTTTTTCCACTTGTGGATCCCTCCCCATCCTATAAAAGAACTTCAAAATTTTGGGTGGAAATTTAAAAGAACGTGGATGAATAAGGAAAAGAACAAAGCCAGAAAGGTTATTTCACTTACTTGCGTGCACAGTTGATCTTTGTCCATACACTCTTCTTCATCTACAGATTTATATGAGGATTTTAATGGCAACAAGTAAACTTTAAACTCAATGCACATTTAGATAACACAACCCTCAATACACATTTTGTCCTGATTTCTAAACTCAAATCTTTTTCCCCATAATGATAATAATAACAAGCATAAACAAATGAACTCCAGTGCAAACATATACAATTAAATTCCAATAATCTTTCATATTTACACTTCAACGAACCCCATGTTTATTGTATCAACAATGAAGGGGATGCCAACATCATGGAAGTACTTAAGAGCAGAAGGTTGGTGGCACTACTATACCCTCCATGTTTGCTAATTGCTTTACAATTGTAACCACAACTTTAACCTTTTTTATAATAAAAAAACCAAGATCTACTATTATACATGAAAGAATGACTATATATATGTTGATCTCTAATAAACTCTTTTTGTTTCCTTCTTCTTTGTTGATTTCTTATAATCAACTTCCCCATCTACAACAATCTGTCATCCAGATTTCCCACTACAATAAACATAAGAAAGAGCAGCAAATTTCCAACTTTTTTAAAAGCAATTTTCCCATTGCTTCCTATCATTCTAGACCTGCGTAGAAATTCGGGTTTTTATCGGTTTCAATTTCAAACCCATACTCTCCGGTGAATAAAGCTCAGGAGAAATGCAAGATGGACTCAAGGGACTTCTTGGACTTACACTAAGCTTGGTTGGTCTGTACAAACCATATCCCATTAGAAAGTATTCCAATGGTATTAACATAGCATGAGGCTGCTCCTCTGTTACCATTGACCCACATGATTGAACCTGAAGTTCCATCAACAAACAAATCTTAAGCTCATTTCAATGTGCACACATTCGCATCATAAGTTAATAGGCAAGTCAGAAATTGGACTAATTTACATACCTCAACTAAGGCGCTGAATCGTCTGTCTAATTTTGAAGTTATATGGAGAGCCTCCGAGTGAAATGGAGACATGTCACCAACAAAAATCAGTGAACGGCAATTTAATTTTCTCAATCCTTCACTTATGTCAGGTCTCCTGTTAATTACCAAAACAAAGTTAAATGAAATGGAGACATGTTAGGATCCTAGAACACATTGAACAAAACTGCAGGCATATTTGTGAATCAAATTGGGTAGACTATTATCCATGATGAATGCTAGTATATATAGTTATTTTGCGAGTGGCATTAGAACTAAAGAAAGAATGAAGGTTTTTATTATAAAAATAATTAATAATTTAAAAACTTATCGAGAAATTACCATTAGTACAATCCAATGCCCTCTAAAACAAAAATGAAAGTAACTACTTTGTAGTGTAATCTTACCCATTAATAGCTTCAAGGAACCTCCACACATTTAAACTCTGCCTCTCATCCAGCGACTGTCAGAAAATATTGGAACATGTTCAGGCAAGTAATGTCAGTTTCAAACAACTAGCTACCAGTCATAATTCAGGCTTTACATGAACAAAAATATATATAGATATACTGACTAACCCTTCGGCATGCTTTAACTGTATCTGAGCCTTGCAGGTGAGCGCCACCCCGAATTTCCTATAACCACAAATGAAATTAATTTGTTCAGCCTCACATCCTGGAAGTATAAATAAATAAAAGAGCTTTTGGAAGCATGCATAAGTATACCTTGCTAAAGTACCGCTTCAATAACATTTCCTTTACCACTCCACACATACCATAAAAGTAGAGTAAATTTGACATGACCTGTAAATATTACCAAATCTTCAGAAACATGTAAGATTCCTTTCTACAAGATGCAATTTTTAAGCCATAGAAAAATAACCTTGTTGCAAAACCATTCGGTCCAAGATGGTTCTTTACATAGAGGAGAAACAAGTATCAAACCCAGAACACGTTGTCTATACTTCATCTGTTGTCAGGAAATAGAAAAACCTGTAAAATTTCGTTATTAAAACTTCAAACTAATTACGAAGGGGAGGAGGTGCAATCACAACTTACAGCAAATAAGGTAAGAATGTAAGCCCCGGCAGTCACTCCCATACACATGACTGCACCGAGACTGCAAACAGAAAGAGAGCAGAGGGGTCAAATTGCCTTTCCAAGATGAAGGAAAGGTTAAATCGTTTTCTAGGATCACTTGCACAAATTATTAACCCAACACTTTCAATCTAGCTATTATATAAGGATTAAGGAACTTGAAATTTTGAACATTGTAGGTTTAAACACAAAACTACCAATATGTAAAGGCAAATGGAAACTGCTCGAAAGCAATTCCTTCATACCACTAAATGTAAAGCAGTTGCTGGTTAAACTAACATACACTTACCCAAAAAAGTTGAGAACCTCAGCTATTTGATCAGCTAAATAATCTACAGAAAGAATTGGGCAATCTAGATCAATTGCAGCTGCTCCCAACTGTAATAGATGAAGAAAGCACAATATGAGAAGGGACCAGGAAAATTATACCATCCAACAATGTAAATATTTATAATAATGAGGAGACAAGGATCAAGCAACAGTGCAACACCATAGTACAACTTCATGGTATAAATCTACAGACCTCATGACCCGGTGGACTAATGTGATATATGCAGAAATTGTGGAGCAGCAGGGAGCATGCTTCGGGACAAAATAATAGCCCTTGAAAGCAGGAGACATCTGATGAAACAACATGCATGAAAACAGAAGATTACATTATTAGTAATTAAACAAAAGAAACATTGTTAAGAAAGTCACCAGTGTTTGGTAGAAGTCACAAAACACCATCTTCAGATTTGGTTTTCACTGCATAATACCTTTTGAGAGCATACCCTAACTTTTACAAACAGAAATACCTTGATGAGGAACTAAACCATATTTTGTAGGGGAAAGGCAAATGTTTGATTTTCTAATAAAGATTGTGAAGCATATTTTAATTAAGTGCAACTACTGGATTATCAAAACTCTGGTTACACTGAATCTAGTTATAAATGTATTGAGACAGATTTCTCATCAACGCTGAGGTTTTGAGAGAAATACTTAAATGAAAAAACATGAAAGGGGTGTATATAGAAATTAAAATTCACGACTTACGATTTAAAGCCAAATCAGGATAAGTGATAAGAGCTGGCTTTTCCTGGTCTCCATACACAGCAACAGAGACATAGCCATGATATGTTGGTATAATATATTCCTGAAGAGACATCCCAGTAGTTTGCTAATCAGTAAAAGCATGTGAAGCTAACAAGATAGTAAATTGCTTATGATAAAGCATGCTGTAGATGTTTTATAGTCTGTTTGGTTTATGGTCGGAAGTGAAGCAAATCATGCTTGAAGCTCCTTTCATGCTTCTCATTTGAAGGAAGCAATTGCTTAATTTTTTAACGAGAGTTCAAGGAAATCTATAACAAACGAGCCATTAATCATGTGTGAGCATTTAGCAATTGCAAAAAACCGTGCAAATGCTTCGGGATTTATTAACCATAAAAGGAAATTAGAAAGAGGTTTATGCAGGCACGCAATACAAGCCACACGCAAAGAAGCAACTCATAACATAAAAAGTGAGAATCTTTCAAAATTGTAACGAAACCACTGTTTCGGACGCAAAGAAGCAACTCATAACACGCAAAGAAGCAACTCATAACACACAAAGAGATACTTTTTAAAATAAAGTTATTTTAGACAAAACCACTAATGCAGTCCCTAAATATGCAAGCACCCATCATATTTGAGCTTGACTTTATGAAATTGTCGTTTTAGTCGTTAAAATTGTTGTACCAGTTGTTTCATCTCTGAATTTACAAACCTATCGGACTGATGGATTATGATTTCGCGTCACAAACTAATATAATTAGTGCTTACAAGTTTATAAACTAAAGTGGACGCTTGCAAGAGAGCTCATTTTAGTTCATAAGAGCAACTTATTATCATAAAGCTTTTAAAAATAGCTTATGATCTTCCAATCACATAAACTACTTTTAGCTTATTCCATCAGCTTATCAAAGAAGCTAATTAGAGTAACCTATTTAAATTATTTAAAAAATACATTAACTAAGCGTTTAATTAAGTTATCTTCCCACACACGCCCTTAATCATAATTCATCTCTAGCCAAAACGTGACCAAAAACAACAAAATCTCGATCTCACTAGGTAGTATCGGCTACATAAACAGACAGAAAGTTACCGTTCTTTTATTTTCTAAAACACCATACTAATTGTGTACTCTATCAAAAGCATGATAAAATAAACACAATGTCTTCACTAACTCAAAGCTTTTAAGCATTTAGAACTATCTAAGATAGTTATTATCAAGTTATCTAACAACAAAGGTAACCGTTTAACACATAACAGCATGGAGAATCAGAAATTGACATTGACATTGTTTTTTATTTACATCAAACTTCATTATCTGGTATAATCGGTAATTAAACAAATTAATTAACAAAATTAAACAATATAATGCAGTAACTATATATATATATATATATATATATATATATATGAATATGGTTGTAATGTAATGTATACCGTTGGTGGAGGAAGAAAGAGAACATCAAAATCCAGAAACACTGAATCGGTAGAATTCGCCATTTCTCT